TCTAACTTGATTCAATCTTCATATATAATCTTACAAGCATAAATGAGAGGCATCAAAAGTAACAAGAAGTCATGCTTTAAGCAACCTTTCATTCATGAAATACGTTCAAGTTCATTAGCCTCTTATATTTTCACAAGTCTCATGTCAAAAACAATAAGCATGTGTAACACATATATAAAGCTCAACGATTGTAACTAAAACTGTCATATACATAAACATGCCTATAATATAATCCAAGGAAATATCATTGACTCTAATAAGCCTTAAGAAACTTTAATAAGATCATCTCCAGAAATAACATATACTACTTAAATTTCATAAAGTTTTATAACTAGTCACCATAGAACAATTATATGTTCACTTGCTAAAACTTAATGTTTATTTCTTAGTGAAATAATTTAATTATTGGGAAATGCAAATACCATTTGATCAACCAATAACCATGCTTTTAAGAACCTTAATACCATGCCCAAAAGCATTCAGTTTTTATTGGATATCAATTTTTATATTCAACATGAATACTACGTTATATAATCCCTAACCCTTCTCATGTGGAGACAAACTAGTTAACTAGAATCAGCAACATGCCTGTATATCTTATTGGGAATTCACTATGATTGAAAACTAAATAATGAAGTCAAAATTTAGGAGTGGGTAAAATAAGAAACAAGGCATTAGAAATTCCCTAAAGAAATTCCAATCTCCACTCTGCTCTGTGCAAACATAATCATGAATGTTTATTTAAACCTTATTTTATAAAACTCATACCCGTTTTGATGTTCATGATTTCCGATCCATTAAAACTTGCAATGCTATCGATTCCTCTATTGAATCATATCCCCTTTGATATAACTGTGTGCAATCATTTTTCATCCCAGTATATGCTTCCTTTATTCATCCACATTTTTGAAGACTTGAAGTCTAACTAGATACTTAGCAAAATGGAACTATATTTTGCTTTAGTTGGAGTAGGTGAAAATCATATCAATGTAATCTATCTTTTTTTGTAAGATGTTATGTACAAGATCTTTTTTGTAAGTTGTTCAGCTATTATCAATGTACAAAATATATATACAATAAAAGAAGAAGACTGAAGGATGTATGGTTTTCATGTTCCCTCTTTATATATATTTTCTAGTTTTCCTCTATTTCTACTCTCTACTTGATTTTCACCTTCTGTTTCTTGCATCTGAACTCCAACAAAGTGGTATCAAAGCAAGTGTTCTTGAGGGACCTGTGAGAGAGTGAAACATGTGTGTATGTAATGGAGTGTGCTATTTAATCAACTATCACAACTATGTCTTCTTCTTTAAGTCAGCATGGTGGTTCCCAGTCAAACCCTCCTTTGTTTACAAGGAAGAATTATGATGTTTGGGCCATCAATATGAAGGTATTTCTTAAGGGAAATGATGTGTGGGATTCTGTGGAAAAGGGCTTTAATCCACCTCGATTGCCTCAGAATCCATCAGTAGCTCAAATAAAGCAACATGCAGAGTATGTAGCTGGTTTATACAAGGCTCTTTAATTCATCCATAGTGCTGTTGCAGATAAGATATTTCCCAGAATAATGAGAGCAGAAATGGCACAAGCAACATGGGAAATACTCTAGACGGAATTTGAGGGTGATGAAAGAATTAAAGGCCAAGAGATTGTGAATCTGAAGAAGGAGTTTGCAATGATGAGAATGAAGGAGATTGACACCATTCACTAGTACTCCAACAACCTTATGGATGTTGTGAACCAAATAAGATTACATGGTGAAGATTTTCCAAACCAAAGAGTTGTGGGAAAAATGATTGTGAGCCTCCTTGAGAAGTTTGAACCAAAAATATCAGCTATAGAAGAGTCTTGTGATTTGAAGACTTTTACTGTTTATGAATTAATTAGCAAGTTGTAGGTTCATGAACAATGGACTGCTCTTAGAATGGAAGACATGGCTGCTCGTGAAAGTGCTTTCCAAGCTTTGCTAAAGTGGAAGCCATTAGCACCATCCTTTGAAAAAAAGTAGCAATATGGAAGAGCAAATAAAGGAAAAATGATGGTTATATAGTCTCAACCATCTAAGAAAGATAAGCTTCCTCCATATCTGATTTGCAAAAGAACTAATCATGATGGCAAGGATTGCTGGTACAAAGGGAAGCCACAAGTGAAATGTAGATTCTATAGAAAATATGGTCACATTGAGAAATTTTGCAAATTTAAGGAAAATTAATACAAACTAAAGCAGTAGCAAGCACAAGTAGCAAGCATAGCTAAAGATCACTTGTTTATGGTTTCACTTGCTTCCGATTTAGTTGACAAGTGCTCATGGTTTGTTGACAGTGGCTGTACTTGTCATATGGCAAATAATGAAGCAATTTTTCCTGAATTGGACAAGTTAGTGAGAATCAAAGTGAAGCTTGGAAATGGCTCAATAGTGCAATCAAAAGGCAAAGGTATTGTGGTTGTTCAGGCTAAGAAAGGTACAAAATATATTCATGATGTTCTCTTTATACCTTCATTGAGTCAAAATTTGTTAAGTGTTGCACAAATGCTTAGGAAAGGCTATTCAGTTTCATTTGTCAACAATGCATGTCATATCTATGATTTTTGTGGTGTTGAACTTGCTAGAATCAAAATGGTAGAGAATGGCTTTCCTATTATGTGGAATTCTCCTTGCTTACATGCTGTTTATGTATCAAAATTTGATGAAACTTCTTTATGGCACAACATATATGGTCACTTTAATTTGAGGTCTCTTAAGTTCCTTCAATCCAATGAACTTGTTAGAGACTTACCAGAAATTCATGTGAATGATGTATGTTCAAGTTGTCAATTTAGGAAGTTACATAGACAAGTTTTTCCCATCAACAATTCATGAAGAGCAAGCCAAAAACTTGAGCTAGTTCATACAAATGTTTGTGGTCCAATGAAGACTACTTCGCTTGGTTAGAATCTCTATTTCATTCTTTTTATTGATGATTACACCAGGATGACATGGGTGTATTTTATGAGCACCAAGGCACAAGTTTTCTTTGTGTTTAAAAAGTTCAAGGTACTTGTTGATAACCAAAGTGGCTGCAAAATCAAAACCTTGAGATCTAACAATGGAAAAGAATACACGTCAAAGGAGTTTGATAGCTTTGTGAAGATGCAAGGATAGCACATTGTTAACTGTCCTTTATACTCCTCAACAAAATGGAGTTTCCGAGAGGAAGAATAGAACAATTATGGAGATGGCTAAATATATGTTGCATGAAAAAAAGTTGCCTAAGAATTTTCGAGCAGAGGCTGTTTATACAGCTTTATATTTGTTAAATTGTTTGCCTATTAAGGTTGTGCAAGGCAAAACACCTATTGAAGCCTGGTATGGTGTTAAGCCTTTTGCACATCATTTGAAAATTTTGGCTCTATTTTCTATACTCATGTACCTGATGCTAAGAGAACCAAGCTTAATGTTAAAGCTGAAACTAGTACTCTAGTGGGTTATTCTACAAAATCAAAAGGCTACAGGGTATACAACTTACAATCTGGAAAAATCTCAATTCACAGGGATTTACAAGTTGAAGAAGATTCTTACTGGGATTGGGACAAGAGAGTTGTTGTGAAAAATGGTGATATAGCCTCTATCAAAGATGTTGCAGAAGCTTCCAAAGAGGAAATTTCAACTTCTAATGTAGTTGATGTTGATGCTCACCATGACTCCCTTATTATGAAAACTAAATGCTTATCCGAAATTTATGAAAGATGAAACCTAGCTATTTTAGAGCCCAACACTTATGCAGAAGCTTCCAAGCATGACATATGGAGGCATGCAATGCATGAGGAGATACAGATGATTGAACAAAATGACACTTGGGAATTGACTTCCCTCCCACTGAAAAAGAATGCAATTGGAGTCAAATGGGTGTTTAGATTAGAACTAAGATGAATCCCGATGGCTCTATTCACAAGCATAAAGCCAAATTGGTAGTGAAAGGATATGCTCAACAAGCCAGAATTGATTATGGTGATACTTTTGCACTAGTTGCTTGGCATGATATAGTCAAAATGTTGAATGTTTTATCTACTAATTGTGGTTGGACAATTTACCATATGGATGTCAAATCAGCTTTCTTGAATGGCCATTTGCAAGAAGACATTTATGTGCAACAACCTGAGGGTTTTATTATTTTTAGTCATGAAGACAGGGTTTGTAAGCTTAAAAAGACTTTGTATAGGCTCAAGCAAGCCCCTAGATCCTGGTACAACAAGATTGATTCATTTCTCCTTCAACAAGGGTTTCAAAGGAGTGCGAATGAGCCAACCTTGTATATTAAATGCAACTCAAGTCAATCTTCCAAAGATACAACTTTTTCAATTGAAAATTTTGGTTCAAATCCTTTTGTTTGTGATGCTGAATTGTTGGTTTCTTTGTATGTTGATGATCTGTTGATTACTATTAGCAATTCACAGTTATTACTCAGTTTTAAAGCTGATTTGATGAAAGAATTTGAAATGTCTGATCTAGGGGAGATGAGTTATTTTTTAAGCATGGAAATTCATCAATGTGATTCTGGTATATTTGTTTCTCAACATAAATATGCTTTTGATATTTTGAAGAAATTTAGTATGGTTGTTGTCTAGGTTCATGCATTCTCCTAGTCAAGCTCATTTTGGTGCTACAAAAAAGGTGCTGAGATATCTCAATGGCACCTCAAATTATTTATGGTTTAAGAAGCATAAACATGGAATTCTGCACTGTTTTTCTAATAGTGATTGGGCTGGAAGTCATAAAGATGCCAAGAGCACAACTGGTTTTGTGTTCTTTTTTGGTTCAATGACTTGTTCTTGGATGTCTAGAAAGCAAGAGGTTGTTGCTCAATCAACTTCAGAAGCTGAGTATATTACTGCAACAGAAGCCGTAAATCATGCAGCATGGATTAATAAGATGCTAATTGATATGGGATGTTATCAGCCCAAGCCTTGTGTTATCCAGTATGATAACAATTCTACTATTTGTATTGATCATAATCCTATCCAATATGGCCGTACTAAGCATATCAATGTCAAATTTCATGTGCTTAGGAATATGGTGCAAAGTAAGGAAAGTGAGATAGCTTACTGTGACAATAATGAACAGGTTGCTGATATATTTACCAAGGCTTTATCAAAGTTCAAGTTTGAAAAGTTCATAAGCAAGCTTGGAGTTTCTAGTAAAAATTCAAGAGGAGTGTTGAAGACTTGAATTTTAACTAGATACTTAGCAAAATGGAACTATATTTTGCTTTAGTTGGAGTAAGTGAATATCACATCATTGTAATCTTTTTTCTTTTTCTTTTTTATGATATGTACAAGATTTTTTGTGTAAGTTGTTCACCTACTATCAATGTACAAAATATATATACAATAAAAGAAGAAGACTGAAGTATGTATGGTCTTCATGTGCCCTCTTTATGTTTATTTTTTGGTTTTTCCTCTGTTTCTGCCCTCTACTTGATTTTCACCTTATGTTTCTTACTTTTGAACTCCAACAATTTTGTCCTTCACCCTGAAGGAGAATGGGGTGGTTTCCTTTACTTCTAGCGTACAGCATCTTCCATTGAAACATCAACACTCTAACCATTGTCATAAGCTGAAATTGGGCAGCATCTTTTATTCCGTACATAGCTTTTGCATCCAATGATTGGTAAATCCATCATCACTAATTGATCATCAATCAATCAGACAATTACTTATAATTGTTTTTATATTTGGTCATTGATCAACCCACCATTCACTCAGTGATTTTCCATCACATGATGCTAATCACACCAAAAATCATTTTTGTTTTGCCACGTTTTGTAATGCAAGTTTCTTTTCAATTGTCTAGAAAGCCATGATCTCAGAAATTCAAAAAAAGCCTAAAGATTGTTGGAACTTGGGGGTTAGAAAATAAATCATTGGCTTCAAGGCATGATGCAAATGCCACTTTTCCTTTAAGTTATTTTTGCCCCCACCATTTCGGTAGGGGTTAACCCAAAACACCTATAGGATTCAATGAAGCTCTATTGATTATGCCTTACATTGATGAAACCAACCATTGAATCTCACTTCTCCAAGCAGCAAAACTATCACTTTCATAAAAGAATTTCTACAGCAATCATTGCATAAAAGAGGCTTGTTTTATATTGAAAAAGAACATAATGTTGTATATATTATCCAAATTGGAATCACTATCTCTAGAGGATGAAAACAAGGCTTCTATAGGCTAGAAGTGTCTATTGATAAAAGACACCTCTTTACATACATGTCTCTTCCATTTGAAAAATTTTAACATGAAAAGACATCTTTTCATTTATGTCCTTTCCCAATCATTATCTTCTTTCCTCTATTTCGAAAATTTCTCCAACAGTATCCTCATTGCTTTCTGTTTATTTTACAGGCCACTTGCTTGGAGTTGCGGCAGCATAGAAATAACAAACTCTGAAGATGAGACTGATACTATCAACAGATCACAAGAAGCTAAACTCCTCGGGAAGAAGGTTTTTTGTGTCACTATAAGGTGTGGAGCATCGCTGATTTTTGCTTCTATTGGAGCAGGGATTGGTGCCACCCCTTATCCGTCCTTCAATCGGTCAATGGATTGGTAAGTTGGTTGCTTATCCATGGGATATACATTAATCTAACATTACAACTGGCTACCATCTAATATTACCCTTTTGCTACAGGTTGTGCTTTTGGAGATTTGGCTGGTCCAATTATTGTAACATTTTGCCTAAACAAGGCTCTTCATATAGACCTCTAGATCATGCTGGAGATAAATTTTCTGCTTCAAAGTTGAGCCTGTTTACTTAACACAGTTAAATTTTCTGCTACAAAGTTGACCTTGTTTACTTAACATAGTTTTCTTAAACACACAACTACTCGGGAATACAATATGTTTTGTTTGTCAGTAGCCATTGAAGCAGGTAGTAGAAGGAAATGCTTCATAAGCTGCTCTTAAACTTTTGCAGCAATTTTCATTCTCTTGGTTCAGTTATAAAACAACTATTTCGTTTCTTAAATAGTCTTTCGCCACTCTTATATTGACATATGATTGTAGCCAAACATATGGTTCAAATGTGGAATAACAATAGATGTACACAAGTATGAGTCTAGGACCCATGCAGGAAAGTAACCTATTTGTTCCTCCAAAGTGCAAGCAGCCTTACTTCAAGCTTCAGGTATCCCAGATCATCACCACTGCAATTATGCCAATACCAAGTAGAACGGCTAAAAACCTGTGATGTGGTGTGTCAACTGAGACCCTACTGTGGGGAATATATCCTTTTGATATCAGGTGGTTTATGGAGACATAGACAAAGACTCCACAAGCCAGACCCATTGATATGGCGTAGATCCAGTCTGCCACGGGGCCCTCAGTCGTTGCATCTATTATGATCCCAATGCCCACGCCAATGGGAGTTGAGACTGCGAATGCAAAGGCGTAGGCTATGCAGGAGAAGAGGGGGCGATCTGGGATCATTCGGAGGAGTGCGATCCCCATTGCTATGGCAGCAAATATCTTGTGCAAACCTATAGTCCATAGCGCTTTCCAGGCATCGGCTTCTGTCTTTGCAACCCCAATGGCAATGCCCTCAAAAACGGAATGGAAGCACAGGGCAAAAATCAATAGAATGCTATCCCCAAGTGAACTGACATTGGTGAGTGCAGAACTTTTAGAGGTGCCATTTCCTGCCTAGATAAGGCATATGAGAAAAGGAAAATTGTCAGCCACTTACAGAATAAGCAGCATCAACAAAATAAAAAATAGGAAGGATAAGATGCTTTTGTGGCCTAGAATCTTACTTGAAGATGTGATTGTGAAGTAGATTGAGTACTGTTTTTCCTCTGTTCAACAGCCCCTGCAAATGAAGAAAAATTTCCTTTACAGCATCCTGAGGAGATTCTTGAACGTGTTCAGTACAGTTAAACAACTAAAGTTCCAAATTTTCCCAGCAAACAAAAACGATGGTAATTAAATTCCTTTTTGTCCCACCTAACATATTTATCACCCTTAACAACCAATAACCCAAACACAGCTGGATATACTAATTTAGTTTCCCACAATTTCTCTGCTAACAAACAGAGAAAAAGTTGGCGTTTGTGTAATCAACGGTGGTTCTTACCTTGCAGCTCAAGATCACCATTGGAGTTAGTCTGCCCCTTCCCATGCACATAAGAAACCACACAATCAGCCAGCATGGTGAGCAAGTATCCACCACAGACAAGCATAAAAGCAAAAGGGTACTCAACGTGAGTCAAATGCTCAAACGTCTCATTAGCATCACTCAAGAAATGCATCAAAGCAGTACCCAGAAACACTCCCCCTGCGAACTGCGTCCCCAACACCAAGAACCCCTGGTTCCACTTCAAAAAGTATGGAGACACCCCACCAAGAAACGTCGCCACAAACTCAATGATCAAGCACCAAATCTTGGTAAGGACCAAGGGTCTTGACTGGAGGTCATAGGTTTCACCGGCTGGAGCATCATCATCATCATGGTCGTGGTCACCGTGGGAGGTGGCTGAGAGAAGAAGCGAGAGGCAGAGGAGGAGGAAGAAAGGAAGAGACTTGAAGATGGTCATTGGAATCAAGGAATGAATCATATGATACTATTTTGTTTTGTTCGGTATATAAAGGGGAAGATATGTCATATTCTGTACTGCATGGAGACAAAGCAGAGAGTGAAGACGACGGAAGGGGAAACTGTAGTACAAAAGAACAAGTCGTGAAGACTTGAACTCTGGTATTGTAGTCTTGGTCTATAGCTTTGCCGTGCATGCAGGGTTGGCCTGGACCCAGGGAGTTAAAGCTTGGGACAGTGATGGTTGTTGGTACAGCAATACATTAGGAGAAAAAACCTCCATATGCAGGGACGGAGCTAGTGTTGGTCAACGGGGGACGGCCGCCCCCCTAAGCTTTTGAAAAATGTTAAATATAGTACTCCAAATTTTATTTTCTACAAAATTTTATATTTGAAGTTAGTTTGAATTATAGGACCACTTAAATATAAAAAAAAATAGTTAGGACTTAGATAAAGGGATCATTTTTCTTTTTGTAATTAATTTTTATAAAGACATGATAATTTTATTTAGGTAAGAATAAATATAAAAAATAGTTAGTAGTTACTTTGAGATAAGTTTATAAAAGTTTTTATATTAATTATATATATTTTTTGTACTATTTATATTCTATTAAACTAAAGTTCATTTGATATATATAACCTCACAAAAAATTATATTTTTACAATATTTATTTAACAATCTTAAATTATATGTTATATAAAACTAGTTAAATATATATAGTTAATATAAAATTTGTTATAGATGATATAAATGATACATGCATAAAAATAGTAATTAATTTAAAAACTATTATAAAATATACTAATATAAACTGCTTAGGCTTCGTCTATCAATGTTATATTATAAGTTTTTTTGTCTTATATAAAATATTAATCAAAATTAATCAAAATAAAAAAATATTAATTTTTTTGGCCCAATATAAAGTATAAATTAATTATAATAAATTAACGTTTTTATAAAAGCTATTGTGAAAAAAAGTTATACAAAATATGTTCAAATGAAATTTAAAAAACTAAAAAAAAAATTTAAAATTTTACCCCCCAACTCACATTTTTGGCTCCGTTCCTATCTATGTGCTAACTCAATTATGAATTCACAAAAGTGAAACCTAAGTTAAGTTTACCAGGTAAAGTTGTTGGCAACTTAATACCGCAACAAAGAATAACGATAACACCAGCTCTGGTGCCAAAATTTTTGTTTTTTTGATTGATTAGAGATATTTATGGGAAGAGTATAATGCCTATATCCAGGCAAAATTACAATTCTTGTCAACCATTTGAATGATGCAGTCAAAAACGCAATCCCAAAAATGTATGATCTACATTACAAAGACTTTTGTTTGGTAAAATCAAGCTTGGGAATTTCTACAGCAATGTCATAGATCATCTGTTTCATCCTCCAGAAAGAACACAAATTCCAGAACTATACACTAACTCTGTCCTCAACGACGCCAGAGACTTCTTTGCTGCTGCCTCTGTTCTTGCATCCGCCTACATTAACAATTCTCCAAATGAAAATGTTGCTTAAAGAATATCACTCAAGATGGCATTCAGAAAATGTGCAGAGAGTTAAGGAAATGCTAACCTTTGATACTCTTTAGAGCGCTCAAGAAACTCCTTTGCAATGTCTTTTCTCTCATAAGATTTTAGCACTGCTCTTATATCAGATGGACTATTGCGGGCAACATCTGCACACAAGGCAAGATACAATGCACTAAAATTAAACAAGCTGAAGCAAAAACTTGGCAAATACAGATTTAAAGCAAGCCAGGTGACTAGGCAAAGATAGGAGCTCTACTGTTAGTTCTTTGCATAGTTCCATTTGGCATGCAATTTTAAGACTAGAGGATATGCATGGTCGTAAAATAATTGAACCAAAGACATACAACAGAAATTTAAAGTTATTCCTGTCTAAATCTCTAAATGGCTCAATGGCACAACAGGAGCAATAATGGGCAAACGACTCAGTCCTTCTGTACAACCATCAAATCAAGACCAGCAGCTTCGTAATGGATTTTACTGCACTTGACATGCAGAGTGCAAATCTAACCATTCAAAATTCTAGTAACATGCAGAAAAAGGCATGCTCAATGCTAAGCATAGGATTTAGGACACTTACACTCAAGGAATGGAATAAGATCCAACAGTGCCGTATCATCTGTCTCAAGCTTATATGGTTTAATTGGGACACAGTTTTCAGGCTGAAGGCTAGAGTCAAATGCATGACCACTCACATATAGAATCTTAGCTGGATCCCTGTTAAGCTTTGACAGATCCTGTGAACAAGAAATACCATTTCAAATAAGTAATAGTTTAAAAGATTCCATTCCATGAAGCAACTCTTTAACATAGTAGAAAACTCAAAAATTGAAAAACACTGAGGCTATGACAATTCTTTGATTCTGTAGAACACTGAGTATTCTCAAATAATTGTAAGGTATTGAATGATCATTATTACTATTATAGTCTATTCTATTAACTCAGCTTTGTAGGAAAAACAGCCACTCAATACAACAATATATGACAGGCTAACAAATGCACCTTGAAACATACAAGGATAGTCAAAGAAATATATGATCATGTAAACAACAGTACAAAAAGACACAGTCCAAAAAAGTAGGAAAAAAGTAAGAGCTAAACATGATGAGAGGTGATCAAGCACAACATACTCTATAATGCTTGCCATCCTGATACTTGGTAGCACCCCTTGATAGCCTATATCGGATATAATGATTGGGATCCAACCTATCACAAACAGGATCAACATACTGCACAAGTGAAAATGAACAAAAAGTCAGATGCTTGATAACATCAATTATCCAAGGAACAAAACTAAAATAGTGTAATCCAATGGAAAAATATCAAACTACCATATTTAGCTGGTCAGAATACACGATAATTTCATAGAACTTAGCAAGATGTTCCAAGAAGGGATCAACTCCAGGTCTTTTAAATGTCCTCCAGCCTCTGTCACGCTTCACCAAACAAACAGGGCAAACAAATTCAGAATAGCGGCATTACCACAGATACCCAAAAATTAAAGTGCAGAAAACCATTTGAATCATTCTATCACAGCTTTTACAATCCTCAGCCCACTAACAATCTGTTCTCACTGAACAAATTGAGATGGTTTTGGACAACATTATACCAGACTGGAAAGTTTGCAATACATAAACGTTGACAAAAGTATGCAGTGAACCATTTACAATAATTACAGTTTCCATAAATTTCTACTTTGGCTCCACATAGACTTTATGGAAATGAAACAGATTCAATTGTCTCAAAAAGATCATGGAACAAATATCCAAAAGAAATCAGGGAATAGAACTAATCCACATTATACTCACAAGGAATAATTGCACTAAAATGAATACTTACCAGGACCATAAATGACTTTCCTAACACAATGCTGCAACCAATTTCAGACTCTCATGTAATTTCAAGATGTGAAAGAAATCAATTGCATTCAGCCATATTCTAACCTTCCAATCAGTAAAAAGTAATGTCTCATTTAGATCCAGGACAAGTGTGAAAACATGTTGCTCTGCAGGATGCAAATCAGGAAGAAGCTTATCTGAGGTTGGTTCAGTGAAGCCCTATGAAAGCCAAAAACACTTGTGGTTAAAGACAAAAACCAAAATGGTAAGGGGAAGGGAAGATTACTAGCAGATCAGAAGTTGCACCCACCTGAACTTGATCTTCAACTAGCCTCCTCAAATCCAAATATAGTTCAATTGATTTAGCAGGAACTGAAAAGTCAAAAACCAAAAACAGAAAACACATAAATAATTTGGAAGAAACATGGCAAGCAAAGTGAAAACAGCTTGGTCAAGTAATGAAGTAAGAATGTCTAGGATTGGTCTTTTGTTAGTCTCCATGAAATGTCAGCTAAGTTTTATTTTTAAAAAACATGAACAAACCAACATTTAAGAATGTGGCTCCACTGTTCTTTTTATAATTTTCCATTCAGTTAAAAGAAAAGCACAAAAGAGTGATGAGCCCAATTGACCAACTATTATTTGGGTTGTGATTAGGTTATGTTTTCCTAAAAATGCAAAATTGCAAATTGTAAGCATCATCCTAAAATGAAAAGTACATATACACAAATGTTATCTTTAGAAATGAAGGTTCTTTCTTCAAGGTTAAATATACTTGTTTTCCATTGATGTGAAGGAACCAAAGAGAGATAATAAGAAGAGGGAAAACTTAGATCTTTAGACCATGGGTTTCCACAAGAAAGTAAGAAAAAATATTACATGAGAACCAGGCCTATGAGCCTATCCACAAACAGCACCAGATTAGATAGAATTTCTATCTTCTCCACTTTTTATTTCTCTGAGGACATAGTGAACTTTTATAAAATTAAATTAACGAAGAAACTATTTAACTCTCTAAAAGAAAATCACTTGACTTGTTTCAAAAGAACTGATTCTTCAAATTAGAACAAGTAAAGAAAACCCATTTATCTTACTTGATGTTCCCAGGAAAACAAATCAGAGCTTAGATAAAATTGTGCACATTACTAAAAGGTGAAAATGATGAAGAATAGAGCACATTACCTGTCATCGCAGCAGAATAGAGCAAACCTCGGTATTTCTACAAGAAGATATAGAGAGAAAACTGTTACCCTTTCCATATCTCATCAATCACAGTACCACATAGAAAAAAGGAAAACAAGAAAAGAAATACACCCAACATCTACCAAAGGAGAAGCCTCCAGTAATTG